TAAAATGAATACGTCTTATGAATTTCAACCTCGACTCCAGCGGCACTCATTGGGTCAATTTTTATCAAAATAATTTTCCATCATACAGGTACATAGCTCACATTTAAAATTTGAACGAAATCGTTTAATAAATACGATTGCGATACGAAATAACTCTACTCCAGTACCACATAGCGAGCTTTCTAGTAGCATGTAATAAGACTATATATTTATGTATGTAAGATAACCTCCGACAATCTGACGGAACTCTATTTAGTGTTTTTTGAGTTTAGGCCGAACAACGAAAACGGGTATCATTTTATGCAAATAGGTATGTAGATAGGACAGTCTATAGCGAAACTCGTAAAATCAAAGCTCCATTCTTTGTGAAAAATTAAAAAAAAAAATCTTAAAAATTTTCAGATAAATGTTTCCTTTTACTAAAAATTAAAAACAAAGTTACAATAGTTCAATGGGATTTAGACATCTAGGAGAAAATGGTTCCCATTCGAATGATAATTGCGCGTTTACGTAAATGTATATCGATCCAGCCTTTCCAATAATTACCACTTTTCGCCATAAGTACGGTATTGATAAATATTTAGCTGTGTCGAATTTCAGGACGTTAGCGTAAGCGGTTTCAGAGATAAGCTATATGAGAAGTTCAGTTTGTATGGAAGGTGCCACGCCCCTTTTTCCAATGTATTTGCAATATATGCATCAGTGCTAAGTTTCAGTTCCCCTACAGTTTCAACATACCGAGTAAATTATTGGTCGGAATATTTATTTTCAAGGTGCTGTCATATGTTCCAATTATGCACCAAATCGGTGCAGCCGTTTAGTAGTTTAGTGAAATACGTTGTACAGAGAACTGTATGAAATTGTAAGCGTGACATCTCAGATTTCTTAATTTTTTGGCAGCAACAACAACAAGTTTTGATTTTTTTAGCGAAAACCTTCCAGACAGAAGTCCTAAAAAAGTGCGATTGGTTATGCTTGAACACACTTAATCGAATGCCAATAAAATTAAGTTTGTAGTTATATCAAGGCGAAATTTTGAGAACAGTCCGTTGCTATCTAAATAGAAACAACGACGCACTGGAAAAGTTAATACATTGAAATACCTAGGAATAATCATCGACGATAAAGTAAAACAAAAACAAAAATGGATTCTATATTTTCAATTAGACCTCTATCAATATGTATAATGCGCTTACTAACTACAGACAGACAGACCAAAATTATAAAAATTTTAGATCTGGCTTCTGTTGAACTAATAAACCGCCTATTAATTTTTCTTTAACATCTATTATGTACAGATATCGGCCTGTTACAATTTTATTATTCTCAAATAGTTTCGTTTGATAGCCATATGGCAACATTTTGGTTATCTTACAAATTTAACTGATTTAAAGTTTTCAAATAAGTGGCAACCCGCTTCAAAAATATTTTCAAAAGTAATCCTCTTTAGTCCGTATTGTAATATTTCTTTCATTTTACAAATATAAATGAATACAATTTTTCAAGCAGTTGGCAAATCCTCTAAAAATATTTTCGGCATTGAAATTCCCTAGCCTCTTTAGTGTGATGCCAATATTGCAATATTTAATTTATGCTATCAATTAAATTAAATTAAAGTTTTTAAATAGGTGGAAACCTTACACAAATATATGTTTAGATGTAAGCCTTTGTAAACCTCTTTCTTTTGACAGCCATATTGCAGTATTTATTTTACCGTATCAATTGACCTAAACTGAAATTTTAAACACAGGTGGCAACTCTCTAATTTTTTCTTCTATATTGTAAGCTAGATCTCTAGCGATACATCGGTGAAAACTGCATTCAATTCCATGTTTTCGAGTGATGCGCGTACAAATATATAGACCGAAAGAGAGTCAAAAATTCTAAAAATTTTTTATTTGGCCTCTGTACCTCTAATAAAAACCCACCATATTAATTTTTCTTTAACATTTATAAGGTACAGACATCGGCCTATTACAATTTTATTATAAGCATAGTTATAGATTTCATTTATTTTATCAATTAAACACTATCAAATTTTTCAAATAGGTGGCAACCCTCCCGAAAAATATTTTTGGCAGTAAAATTTCCTAAATCTCTTCAGTTTGATACCCATATTGCAATATTCAATTTATCTTATAAATTAAATTAAACTAAAATTTTCAAACAGGTGGCAACTCTAAAAGAATATTTTTGGCTGTAAGCCTTCTTAAGCTTCTTTCTTTTGACACCCATATTGCAATATTCACTTTTTCCTATCAATTTATTTAAACTGCAATTTTCAAATTTCTATATTTTAAGTTAAGTTAAGTTTTAATTAGACCTCTAGCAATACATCGGTGAAAACGGCATTCAAATCCATGCATTCGTTTTCGAGTGATGCGCGTGCAAACATACAGACAGGCAGACAGACAGACAGACAAAAATTCTACATATCGTTGATTTGGCTTCTGGTGCTCTAATAAAGACCCCCCCACATTAATTTTTCTTTAATATCTATAATGTACAGACATCAACCTGTTACAATTTTATTATGTCTATAGATACTCACAACAATCTCTTAAAAAGAAATAAGATTATTACGGAATTATGGAAAATGGGTGGCACTGCCATTTTATAGCTACACAAGTTTATCTCATTAAGTGTAACTGAACGTTCTATCGAAGATGTTTGAAATAGGGGTAAATCCACCCCTGGTTACCATGTAATGGTAGTTTTCGGAAAGGTGAAAAAACTACCCAAAGGTATCCATAAATAATTTTGCCCACCTAGTTGTTGAAATATCACACTGAGCGCTGTACGCCGTCTTTACTAAACACAAAGTTAATGCCTGCCCATTTTAATCAATAGCTGCATGAATTTAAACTTGATATTTAAATGTATGTATGTACACTAGGGTAGTCCAAAAATGCATGTGAAAAAGTAAAGTCGGAATTTGTATGCTCTCATCCCCTAGGATTGTTCTATATCGAAAAAAAACACCCCATTTTTATAAGCTTTTATTTAACTTGGTCATCCCGCGCAAATCGTGGAAATTTCCAATCGATTTTAAACTAACTTCCCGACAAGTTAGGGACTTGAAATTTTCAGCATAGTTCCAATCACGATGACAATGCAATTTAAAATATAAATGAATTCCCTATATGGTCCAGGGGTCTTGATTCAAAGTCGGTCAAAAATTAGTAAAATTTATGGCTAACAGAGCGTAATTTGCCAAAGAACGTAAAACCAGAGCAAAGCTATTTATGGCAAATTCTAGATATCAACCTAGTCTAGATATGAACCTCGTTGTAGGCATCATATCAAGGAGATACAATTAGAAGACTCGAGAAGTTTCCTCGCCAGAAGAACTTTAATATTGCGCCTAAATATATGCCATGCTACAGCGGAAGTGGACGACACGCCATTTCTTTAAATGAAATTAACTGCTGCTATATGTATGTATGTACATATGTATGTTTATACAAAACGTAAGCAAACAACATTTTGCTTGCATAGTCTTCTGTTCTCTTTCATTGCAAGTTGAATTATTTTAATATCTATTGCAAAATTTTGTACATAAAATAAAATAAAACTATTTAATATACAACGCTTTTATAAATGGACTAAAAATTAGAAAATAAAGTAATGTAAAAAAAATATTTTTTTAAAAATAAGCTTTTATTTAACATGTTTAATCAAAGGAATAAAATAAAGTAGTGAAACAAAAGATTTTTTAGCAAGAAAATTTTGTCAAAACTGCACTAAAATGAATAAAATAAAATAAGTTAAGGTCTCGTTAAAGTTACTAAAAGCCATTTAGTGAAAGGAGTTATTCAAACTCAAATGAAAATTACTAACAATTTGTACTAATTTACTTCGTTTTTAAAAAAGCTTTTCGGCGAATTCAGCGTACATGCATAATTGGTTAGGTATGTATGTATTTATATGTATGTATGCAGATATTTAAATGCCGGTTTGCTATTCGCGCTCAAAGTTTTCCACGTATTTTATATGGGAAGAAAAACTTTTCGTAGAATGGTATAGAATTCTTGAAGATTAATATTTTTGATCTGAAAACTTTGTTTCTTTTCAGGAGACTTCCAATAACAATACCCAATTGTTTATTTAAACATTTTTTAATACTGACGGTTTTTTATTGATCCCTTCCAACCCCCATCGCATTTTCTGGGGGTTTTGGCGGACCTACAAAATATAGTTATTACGAAAAATGGTTAAATAAATGGTCCGATCGACAAATATTGATCTTCAGGAATTCTGTACCATTTCTACGAAAAATTTATTTTATCCCATATGAAATACATGGAAATCTTTGAGCGCTTTGAGCGGCCTCTAAATATTTTGTGATATAGAACAATCCTAGGGGTGAGGCATAAAAATTCCGACAAAGTTTTCCATGTATTTTATATGGGAAAAAAACTTTTCGTAGAAATGGTATAGAATTCTTGAAGATCAATATTTTTGATCGGAAAACTCTGTTTCTCTTCAGGAGACTCCCAATAACAATACCTAATTGCTTATTTAACTATTTTTTAATACTGACGATTTTTTATTTATACCGCCATGAGCGATTTGGTATTCTAGAATGTTTTTGTAGGAAATTGAATAGCCTATAAGTTTGTCATTTGCAATTTTTCGATAGCTCTTGGTTTTTACAAGATAAGGTCAAAACACCGGGAATTTCATGAAAATATTGGGTTTAGTGATCCGTACTATCTCGCTCGTGGGAGTTAGAGTTACGCAGCAATGAACACTTTTGTAGAGCATTCAATTTTGAAGGAACCCCATCATTGACCATGACTATACCATTATATTCCTCTGAGCTATACAACTTTGAAGAAAACCAATCAAAGTTTACGTGTATTTTGAAGGGGAAATCTCTGGTCGCCTTGGTCGACTGGACTTAGTATTAATAAAATAAAAAAATATAGTCGCCGCAAAAAGCACCCAAATGTAAACGATAAAAAATAATCTCTATAATGACACTCAAAGTTATTTACCTGGATTTAGCCATTCCATAATCAGGATTTTGAAAGTTGTTGCAGGTGCCATCAAATGTTCTGTAGTAAAAATTTGTCGAATCACTCCCACAATTCGAAGGCGGAGAAGTACATTGAAACTTTTCCGATTTTTCAGAGCTGAATATAATGCCATTTGAACCGGGGACAAAACTATTGACTAAACGGCTGACCCCATTATTCTTATTAAATCTCATGAGGTTCCTTTCTTCCAACTCGGCAAAAGCAGTTGCAGCCGATGATGTCACATATGTTCCAGGACTTGTATTATATTCCTGATATAACGCAAAAGGACTGAAATATATTTAGTAAGAAATAATACTCGTATTTTTTAAATATGTAATGGCGTTTGTAACAAAAATATATATGATCTTACCATCTACTTTCCAGGTTTGCTGCAATTACTTGCGCAAGGGACAAGATAGTGGTTATAAACAGAAAAATAAATTCTTGGCTGCCCATATCTGCGTGTGATTTCGTGATAAAGTGCATTTGTTTTATGCGCGAAAAGCTTTGGTTCTAGGTTTATATTGTCTCAAATGTTATGTTGCCATAATGTTTCCGATGCATCGTTTTTTTCTCCGTCTCTTTTGTCATCTTTGTAGGCACGCGCATACATATATAATATTCACGCTTATTTGCTCAAATTATTTAAATATCGCACGTTCAGCTTATCCGGAAATATTGATAGAAAGATTTGTTTATACTCTTGCAAAAATAATCTTTCATGCTTGCATATTTTCATTTGTGGGTTTAGTGTTGATATCAGCAGCAGAAGAACTGTCGAATAAATTTTAACGTAAATATTTTTTGCATACGTGCATGTGTAGATTTGTATATAAAAAGGTTGACATTTAAATGCTTATATATGTATGTATGTGTGTACATACTAGGGATGTTAAGAATATTTGCATTCGCATTCGCTTATGTGAATGATTCGCACCATTTTAAACATTCGCATTCAAATGTTCAACAAAAATAATAGATTGACACTTAGGGCAGTTTTCTAATGTAAGCAGTAAAGTTGCCTTTACTAACAGGGCAGATAAATTGTTCCTCACTTTAAAGTGTTTTCGTTTTCTTACCTTGCCGGTAAAAATTAATTTGTTATTCCGTATAGTGAAACTTCACTACATTTCCGGGAGTTAAACTTCACTACATTCGTCATAAAATTTCGAAGGTTGGTAATGCAACATAAGCAAATATAGAGCAAGAGCAACTGTTAGCAAAAGCCAAAACCTTTGTTGAAATATCTAATATATCTGACTCATGAACCAAAACCAAAACAAAATTTAAAGTTGGGTACAAATTTTAAAGGTTACATCGGGTGAGCAACAGTTTATCGATTCGAGAAATTAATGCGCTGATGAGAAAACGATTATGTTCAACAAGTTCCGATAAAATTCATATAATCAACCTAGAAGGAATTCTATATTCCTCTAGCGAAAGCGAAGGCTCGGACATTAAAAAATGTTAACTTAAGGCTCAATAGAAGGCAAATCTTAAAGAAAAAGAAGCCTCCCTCGATGAAAACCCCTCCCGCGATTGGCGGAAAATTGAACTAATATACTACAAATAATTTAGCGCACTATTCACTAGAGTTCAGAGTGGGCAATGATTCAGTGCAGCCGGCTTTATATACGAGCCTCTAAGAAATCGCCTCATAGGCGAAAACGCTGTGTGTGGTCGAAAGTGCTGATCAAACGAATTTTCATTTGGTATTATGATCTTCATTCGATGAAGAATAGCGCTATTGTGAATTCCGCTCTTTTAGGTTGTTCACAATAGTATATTTTTGACCGCTGAGAAGCTTTGTTTACGAAATGAGCAAACTAAATAGTGGACTTATATGTAGATATATAAATTTGTGCAAATTAAAATGAAGTAAAAAGAAAGCGAGTTTTTAAATCTTGGTGAAAATGAGTACAAAGGAGTTATGGTTCGACGATTCATCAGAGGATGAGAGCTTAATGGAACTGGCCAGGAATAGAAAACGTTGTAAGAGAGTTTAAGTGTAGCCAGCGTTGCTGAATTGAAGATTTCGCCGTCATTTTGACGTTTTTTTTAGCTTAATTGGGTTTGACGATTTTTCCCCCGTAATGGCGATTTTTTATTTTAGTTTTTCCACTAAATTATGTATGTATGTAAAAAAATTTACGGGAAAACGTATTCCAAAATACAACCACGCATATATCTAGTTTTGTTCTACAACCGTGCTTTTAGTTATATTAAATTTGTTCTAGGATTGTAACCAAATCGTTAATTTGTACTGCTGACACTGATTTGAAAGATACAGAAAGTATGAGGAAATTTGTTCAGTCAAAATTATCTGTCAGTTAATAAATGTTAATGTTACACTAAGGGTATTCACACCTATTTTGGTAGTTTCGTAAACTGCTAGTTGGTACTTGGCAATTTTATCCACTGTAAACGTCCTTTTCTGTTTTCTTTTGTTAGTCTGGTAAACTATGTTTATCAACAGCTGATTCGTAGCTTTCTCCTTTAAAAATATAAATTGTAACAGCAAATTTACGGAATTTTACTTACTCATATGCGTTATGCCTTTCGGCAGCGGGCGGATATACAATTTATTAAATATGGATCAGGTGATTCCAGTTTACCAACTACCAGAAAAATTATCAAGCTTCCATCTCGACAATTCGGTAATAAAATAAATTTACACAAACAAAATACATGGGTAACAAGTAAAGAAGTATAAGTTCGGGCGAACCCGAACTTTATATACCCGGCGCAGGTATCAAATATCATAATTTCAACTTTCCCTGAACTACCTTTGCATGATAAGTAGGGATGTTTACCCGCTTTCACACGTTTCCGATAATATGCAGAGTTAGACTTAATGATATAATTGAACCTAGTTAGGTACAAACCGATTAAGTGGTTACCGAGGTATACATTTGTAGTTATAAAAGTCTATAGTAGTCTTATTTACATAGTGTTAGGAATTGTTGTAACTATTAACTTGGAGTAAATTAGCGTCCTCATTGAAATATCGGACTTTTAGTATTTCTGAAATTTACCGTTATACGGGAAGCGTGTGTAATTTTAGTCCGATTTGAATAATTTTCAACAAATTGCTTTTTCGTACCAGGGTTATTAAGTGCACAGAGTTTGGTAGAAATTGATAAATCGGTTACCGTGATACACATTTAATATTCTAATTTTATGATAAGTGGTTATTGCAATCATCGATTTTAAGTGAATTCGATCCTGTAGTTACTGATTTATCGCAATTTTCGTGTTTCTGTAAATTACCGTTATATGGCAGGGGGGCGTGGTTATTACCCGATTTCAAAGATTTTCAACAGATTTCTTAGCTAGATCCTACCTAGCCTCGTACCGAGTTTGGTAGGGATTGGTAAAGCGGCTACGGAGATACAGCATTTCATCATAAGTGGGCGGTGCCACGCGCATTTTCCAAAAATTTCATAATAATATTATTTTTTGCCACAATTCTATTCCACATACTAATTTTCAACAATTTGCATCTAATATTTATTGAAATATCGCAGTTTTTGCATTTTTCGAAAATACCGTTATATGGGAAGTGAACGTGGTTACAGACCGATTTCGCCCATTTTCAATACCAACCTACCTTGGATAAAGGGCCACCTACATACCAAATTTCGTTGAGATATATCAATTTTTGCTCCAGTTATCGGGTACATGGACAGACGGACGGATGGATGGACGGACGGAGAGACGGACATGGCTCAATAGACTTCTCTTTTCATTCTGATCATTTATATATACATTTGTCCATATCTATCTCGATTCGTTTTGGCTGTTACAAACAACCGTTATGCGAACAAAGTTAATATACCGTTGTGCACAAGTTCGTTCGGGCATAAAAATTACCGAGTACCAAGCTCGTAGTGAAGACCCCTATTTTAAAACTGGATCAAAATCTTCAAACTAGTGGAGTTCAGAATTTAAAAGCAGTTGCGTTTAAGTTTAAATTTTCGTTAACAATTGCAAATTCACTTTTATTAACCCATATGCAATTTGGGTTCCATTTGGTTTTGTAATGAGTATTCATATATATTGGGCCGTATGCATGGGCGTCGCCAGGATCGAATTTAGAGTGGGAGGGGCCGTCATATAAAAAAATCCCAAAATTTTAATCTTTACACATTCATGTTTCTGGCAATGGGGTGGGGGGGGGGCGATACACAGTGGTTCGGATCGCAAATCTAGCTGGACGAAACTATTTAAACAAATACTCTTTAATGGATTTTTACACCACTTCTTATTTAGGGGATTTTGGGGTCGCTGATTACGAATCATAAGTCACTTATCAAAAATTCCAAATGGCGGATCCAATATGGCGGACGAAGATTAAAAAAAAATCGGTAATTTCTATGAAACTAGGTATCTGGGGGTTTTTCTGGGTTGCTGATTACGAATCTAAAGTCATTTACCAAAATTCAAAATGGCGGCTCCAACATGGCAAACAAAATATTTAAAAAATCTTAAGCCTTCACATATGAAAATTTTTTGGAGAGAGATTATACTTAAAACGATTACAAATTTTTTAAAAGTTTAATAAAAATATTTCGCTTTATACTTTGATTTTTATTTTCAGTTCACAATAATAAAGACTTAGTACATTTTAAAATAATTCAATAGAACAGTTAATTCTCTAATAAAAATAGTCCATATCATAATTATGCGACACCCACATATTGACATTTGACTATTTATTTTATTATTATCTATTTAATCTTAATTACTTGTTTCATAAAATTGCNACAAATACTCTTTAATGGATTTTTACACCACTTCTTATTTAGGGGATTTTGGGGTCGCTGATTACGAATCATAAGTCACTTATCAAAAATTCCAAATGGCGGATCCAATATGGCGCACGAAGATTAAAAAAAAATCGGTAATTTCTATGAAACTAGGTATCTGGGGGTTTTTCTGGGTTGCTGATTACGAATCTAAAGTCATTTACCAAAATTCAAAATGGCGGCTCCAACATGGCAAACAAAATATTTAAAAAATCTTAAGCCTTCACATATGAAAATTTTTTGGAGAGAGATTATACTTAAAACGATTACAAATTTTTTAAAAGTTTAATAAAAATATTTCGCTTTATACTTTGATTTTTATTTTCAGTTCACAATAATAAAGACTTAGTACATTTTAAAATAATTCAACAGTTAATTCTCTAATAAAAATAGTCCATATCATAATTATGCGACACCCAAATATTGACATTTGACTATTTATTTTATTATTATCTATTTAATCTTAATTACTTGTTTCATAAAAATGTAATTTGTTCATTATCAAAGAAATTGTGTAAATCCAGGTTTCAAGCAATATTTGAAAAAAAAATCAACAAACTTTAGCAAAAATTTCGATGTATTTAATTAGGTTTCTTAGAAAGATATTGAGTGTGCAGTTTTCTAGCCCATACAACTTTAATAAAATAAAGTGCAAGTTTAAAGTACCTGGGGCTTTTTGCTGTTTTTTGGCTTTTTTTATTGTTCCTGTTAATAATTACTTTCAAATTTGGAGATTTGACATACCGTCACTAAAATGCAAATATCTAAGCCTATTGGTTAGACTTGGTTATCGAACTTTCCCCCCTGAATTTACGAAGGTGTAAAGAGTAATATGCAGGTGGTTTTATAACGGCCTTCGGTGGCCTTTACTTTTCCTACTCTTTAATACACTACTCTTTAATACATCCGCTTATACCAATGTGGACATACATTGCGTTATGACCGCTGAATCTATAGTGGAATAAG